GAATTGGGGACTCCACTGGGGCAGAACTATTAGTTGCTATACAAGGGGTGCAATTTTGCAAACCAGCTGGGGGTACAACACCTAACAATCGAGGGGGATTCCAAAGTGGTGGTGGGTTGGTTGAAAAATCCTGAAGAGGCTATGTGGCGATACAAGAATGAAATGAAGAATTTTAGTTGGTTGACAAGGAATATGTTGGTCACTGTACAGTGGATGGGGAGATCAGCAAATACTTTGTCAGATGTGTTAGCCAAGCAAGGGGTAAATAGGGAAGAATTGTTTTGGGTTCAGTTGTGATTCTTGCTTTTCTTTCCTAGTTTACTTGTAAGATTCAAGGAGGGCTGCAGCTCGCGCTTCTCCCTGGGATGTTGTATGAACTCACTCTAAATCAGCTTCTGAATTAATAAATTTATTATCATTCATCAAAAAAAAAAAAATCCAGTCCACTAGATCATAGGCTTTCTCTAGTTCCAACTTGATTGCATGTCTCCTTTTTGGCTTTTCCTTAACCTTTTTTGGGCCTCCACACATTCATTAGCAATTAAAATTTGGTCAATTGTTTGCCTATCTTGAAGGACCCTTGAAATTGGGAGATGAGTGAATGGAGCACCTTTTTGATCCTCAAGGACAGAACCTTAGCAATTATCTTGTAAAGACTTGTTGCTAAATTGATAGGTCTGAAGTCCCCATGATGATTAGCACCGCTCTTCTTTGGAACCAAAGCTATAAAGGTTGAGTTCATTCCCAAGCTGATTACCCCCCTTCTACAAAATTCCCTGAAAACGTTGATCAAATCAGCTTTGATTATATCCCAACAATCTTGATAAAAAGCCTTTATAAATCCAACAAGCTCTTGAGCTTTGGAATGAAAGCCCATTGAGAAAACCACTTCCCTAATTCTTGATTATCTCCCAAAACGTCCCAATCAAGTCCTTCAACAGTCCACCTCACATTAAGTGGCCTTCTACAGATTGATCTGAAATGTTCAAAGGCCTTAGCTATTTCACTTTGATCTGTGATCTCAGACTCCCCCACCACTAAAGAAGTAATTAGACTCTTCCTCCTACGATTAACAATGGCATGGAAAATTCTTGTGTTGTCATCACCTTCCCTGAATATTGAACTAGGTTCCTTTTTTAGGGTCCACGCAAAGGGAGGATGGAAATGTAAAGGCACGGAGCTGGAGAGCAGTGGGAGGCAATGAGATGGAGAAGAGAGCTTAACGTTGAAGCAAAAAAGTTTAATTTTGAGGAAAGAAGGATTGGAGGTGCACTTAAGTGGATAGATGCAATGAAAGACGAAATTAATGCCTTACATAAAAATGGCACATGGGAGTTGGTAGATCTTCTTAAGGGAAAGGAACCTATGGGGTGCAAATGGGTGTTCTTTGTGAAACACAAGGTAGATGGAATAATGGAGAGATACAAGGCTCACTTGGTGGCAAAGGGTTTTACTCAGGTCTATGGAGTTGACTATGCAAAGACGTTTGCTCTAGTGGCAAAGATGAATTCTTCTCTCTTTAGCAGCAAATCTAGATTGGGAACTCCATCAAATGGACATCAAGAATGCCCTCTTGAATGGTGATTTGGAGGAGGAGGAGGTGTACATGATCCAACCTCCTGGTTTTTGTGCTAAGGGCAATGAACAGAAAGTATGCAAATTGAAAAAGCATCTATATGGTCTAAAACAATCACCAAGTGCTTGGTTTAGCAGATTTCATCAAGCGGTTCAACAAATGGGTTTTAAACCATGTCAAACTAATCACACCCTCTTTGTGAAGAAAGAACAACCTTGATTGTTTATGTGAATGACATAATTATCACTGGTGATTAGATCTCAGAGATTCAAAGGGTAAAAAAGTTCTTGGCCACTTAGTTTGAGGTGAAGGATCTAAGACCTCTACGTTACTTTCTTGGGACTGGAGTTGCCCGCTCCCAACAGGGTATCTTCATCTCTAAAAGGAAGTATACCCTATATCTCCTAAAAGATACAGGAAAACTTGCGGCTAAACTGGTTTATACTCCTATAGATGTAAATCACAAACTCACGAACTACAATGATAAGCCCATAAAAGACTCTAAGTGCCAAAGACTTGTGGGTAAACTCCTATACTTATCTATGACTAGGCCAGATATTGCATATGCAGTAGGAGTCCTTAGTTAGTTCATGGATGCTCCCAAAGCAGCTCACTTAAAAGCAATAGATCGAGTTCTCATGTACTTGAAGAAATTAGCAAGGATAGGCCTTTTCTTCAAGAAGAATGGACATATGAAAGTTGAGGTTTGCACTAATGTTGGTTGGCCAAGTTTTGTAGATGACAGAAAATCCACAAGTGGCTAATGTACATTTGTGGTGGAAAATCTTGTTACTTGGAGAAATAAGAAACAAAGTGTGGTGGACAAATCTAGTTTAGAAGCAAAGTATAAAGCCATGTCTCAAAGAGTTCTTGAAATATTATGGATTAAAAACTTATTAGGTAAATTGGGATTTCCCCTTGATGGTCCCATGTCACTCCACTGTGATAATAAGGCTACTATCAATATTGTTCTCCATGATAGAACCAAGCACATTGAAATAGATAAACACTTTATCAAAGAAAAACTAGAGAAGGGAAAAGTGTGCATTCCATATATCAGCTCTGAGGAAAAACTTGCAAATGTTCTCACCAAAGGATTGAACTCCTTGCGGCACTATGATCTTTGTGACAAGTTGGGACAATTGATATTTATGCCCCAACTTGAGGGAGAGCGATGTAATTAAGTTGTTAGCCACAAGGGGCACTTTGTCTTTCCCTTTCTTTTATTGCAAGGTTCAAAATTTCGATAAGATACCTCGTATCGGACGTATCGTATCTTTGGGGTCCCAATACACCTGACCCCTCTTTTTTTAATAAAAATTATGCATAAAAACCTCCCCAAAAACCAAATTTTGAAAAAAAAAAAAACTAAAAAATATAAAACCGTGTGCTTTTTAGTATCAATATGCCTTTGTCTACACAAGGGTATATCGATACTTTGAACCTTGTTTTATTGTATTCGGCTACCCTAGACTATAAATATAAAGCTGGCACCACCAGACAATACTTTTTCCTCTCTAATCTTCTTCTTCTCTTCTCCCTCCTCTTCTTCCTCTCTTCTTCTTCTTCTTCTCTGAAATCAGCTTTTAAACATCATAAGGCTTCATCAAAGGACACTGATAAAAAAAAGGTTTCATCAAAGGACAGTGGGGGATTGAGGAAGAGGTGGAACGAGGAAAAAAGAAGAGAAAGAGAGAAAAAGAGAAATCCTAGAGAAAAACAAGGGGTGGAACGAGGAAGAGGAAGAAGAGGAAAATTTGGACGAGAACGAATAAAGAGGAGTTGGACAGTGGGGGGGAAGAGGGATGAAGATTCTCAGTTGGAATGTGAGAGGTTTGAGGGATGGAAAAGATGGGAAATGGTAAGAAATCTAATTAGAAACACCAAACCAAATGTGGTGTTGTTGCAGGAAACAAAGCTGGAAAGTTTTGACTTGAGATTGAAACTGGATATTTGGGGAGATGAGAGTGGAAAATGGGTGGAACTACAAGCTTCGGGATTGTCAGGAGGGGTTGTGATAATTTTGAGTTCAGAAGTCTCCAAAGTTGATTTATTGGAAAATTTCTGGAATTCACTTGAGTTACAGCCTTGTAATGTAGATGCATTCTCAGTTTAATGTTCTGGACATGTAATTGAAGTATGTACTTGATGTTTTTGGTGTGTCATCTAGACAACCAATGTGATAGGATGTAACCTTTTCTTTTAATAAATTTTCTTTCTTCTTGATTCTTCAAAAAAAAAAAAAGGCTTCATCAAAGGGCCAAAAATTTATTTAATCTGAAATGTTTCAGTTACATTTCTTCCCCTTTTGCAGTTAAAATGTAGTTATTTGACCCTTCACATGAGAAAACATGCAACCTTGGGGAATTATTGCTCAAAGGGGTCTTTTACATCATTACACTAGTGTAGTCATTGTGGTTATTGGATTCTTATAAGCTCATCTCTACTAGTGGCCCTTTTCCTATTTCTCATTTATATTGTCCTTCCCTTTTCCAATAAACCTTTATTATTAATCAAACTGTGTTTTACTTTCAAAAAACTGAAAGGATACTTTAAAATATCCAGCATGACATAAAGTATAATGTGATTGAGAAGTGAAAAGTAGTTCAAGGAACTGGATGAAATATCAGTCTTCAATTTAAACAAACATCAGGTGCATCTCCATAATAAAACTTAATAGGAAATATGTCATGTATTTTCTATCAAGTAGAGATTTGATTTGTATGATGTAAAGTCCATACATTTTTGAAGTTCCTTCTCCTTAGATGCTGCCATCCTTCTAAGCTTTGCCGCTTGAGCAAAGGTTGATGGGCTGACAAAAAAAAGTTGTCAATATGTATGAGTTGATATTTACCTTATTTCTAAGACAGTTTGGTCTGCAAAACTGACATGGTTGAATAGAACAGAATACAGTTCCATGGCAATGGTTCATCAACCAGAAACAATTTTCACCGCAGAAAAAGATGGTTAAAACTTAAATAAACATGGTTAGGTCACTCAGAGTTTCAGCACGATTGCATGAAAGGATAGAATATTCAAACTAGGCATAGTTGAATTTGTTTCCAAAATAAAAATAAAAAATAAAAAAATAAAAAACATTATTGTAGTTGGAAAGGTCTTTACTACATCAATTTGGTAATGATTCCCATTAATCTCAGATGCCAACAATTTTTTATTGGTTTTCAGCTATCAACATTTCTAATCAGAAAATCCCAATTCAGATGGAAATTTTTGGGAGCTTCCATGATTACCACGAGTTCTCTTTGTCAGTGAAACAATAATATCAAGCATAAGGGAACAGCTTATCGCGTACAATAACAGCCAAAACCCTCCCTCTCTCTCTGTAGCATCAACCACCTCATACCCAAACAGCAACACAGACATAAAAGGCTTGATCAACTAGTTAATTAAACACAAAATCTTCCTAAGAATATTATGTTATTTGTAAAGAAACCTATAATTGTATGTTCATGCTCACCTATGATTAGATGCACCATGTAAAGAATTCAGGAAATAAGCTTTAAACTATGTCATTTGTAAAGGAACCTAAATTCATATTTAGCAAAAAAAAGGAACCTAAATTCATATATTCACAACCTCTTTCCAACAATAGAACACTTACAGGGGAGGGCTTCTCTGCTCGAGAAGGGAGGAAACAAATTGGGAATCATTGCTTTATATCAAATGAGCTGTAAAGTCATGGGATTTCCATATCTGAAACCTATTAAGTAAAGCTCAGTTCAGCGATTAGATTATTATAATTCCCATAGTCATTGTGGAAAGAAATAATCATATTTCCTGTATAACCATGAAAATTTCACAGGGGCCATTGCTTGGTGTAATGGTAAAATCTGAGGCTGAAAAGCATGAAATGTGGATTCAAGTTAGAAAGCGGCTACTTTGTGAGAAAGTAAAAATTGCCAAAGGTTAAGTCGATGTACAGTCCACCCCTCCCAAGACTCCAAATAACTTGGACCAATAGTGGGTAATGACCCTTGAATTATGAAACTTCCACCTCCCCCCACATAAGTTTCAGTTACCTTGTTGTTGTTGTTGTGTTTTTTCTTTTCTTTTCGTTTTTTTTTTTTTTTTTTGGTGATAAGTGGCTTCTATTTGTTGTTCTTTCCAATATCAAGAACCTTGTTCCCAGTATATCAAGATAAATACTTGTTATTTGAAGATAATCCATCTTCCGTCAGAATGAAGCAAGGACATGGTCGACAGAGTTGATCCACCCAATGATGTTTTCTACATTAAGTCCAACATTGTTATCTCTTGACAGCTTCCTTATGTATTTCACTAGCACTGCCGTTCCCTTCTTTCAGTGCCACCATCAGTTGCAATTTGCAAAGCCGATAAATCATATTCAAAGAGAATTTATTTGGAGCTATGGGAGAAATAAGTTTCACTTGTTGAAATGGAAATAGGCATGTAAAATCTAGTCATGAATTTAAAATACAAGAATGCTTATAAGAAATAAAAACAAACAAAACAATTATCAAGAGCCTTCTAGAAATGTAAGTTGTGGAGAAGTCGAGTTTCTTCTAGTAATGAGTTTAATCTGAGGAGAAATATCTACTAAGGCCGCAGTGTCTCTCAGTGCTAAATATATTAAAAAAATGAAACTAATCAATTCACAGAATTTGAGAAAGAACACAAGTCCAGAACACCATAATACGCATTTTGAAGAGTAAAACCAAAAATAAATAAATAAACCACCCACTTGGTTAACGAGCCCGCCTCTTTCAAAAGTTTCTTTATTTCATTGCGCAACTCGATTTCCTCTGCACTCACTAATCCCTTCTGTAAAGAAAGAAAGAACAGCACCACATAAATTCTCGTAGTTAATCAGCTGTCTATCTTTTTCTGAAATCTTCAACAAAGAGAAGAGAGATGATCCGTGAGCAGAGAAAATCAGCCCCATTGCTTCGAAAGAAAGGAGTGAATTTTGTGAAGGAAACTACAAAGGCATCACTTCGAAACAAGAAAAAAGGTTGAGGCCACTACCTTTTTGAGCTGTTCTAGGCGTATGGAGGCGAGTTGCAGAGCAACAACGATGAGAAAAATGAAGGGAGCCGCAATAGAGATTCTATTCTGAAGGGCTTCCTCCATGTTTTGCTTTCTTTGCTTCTTGTTCGACCTGCGGTTTCCTTTGTGTCTAATTGATGGATTTGCAGGGAGCTGGAAGAATTTTGAGAAACATAGCGAAGAGGCATTTGTTTTTGTCGTGATCCGGAGAAGGCGGAAAACTTGGATGGGGAACCGTGGGGAAACGGGTTCGGATCGATGGGTAAAACTCCGGTAGAGCAATTTTAAGGGATGAAGTTGATACAGACGAAAAATCAAATTAAACTGATATAAATCGTTAAAAAATTATATTAGTAAGGAATACGAATTTTATATGACTACAAATAAATTATTTAAATACTAAGAATCATACTTCAATAATTTATACGAAGTGTGAATTATCAGATAGTTGAAAATTGATAATGATGAAATAACTAAAATGTGTGTATATATATTATATACTTTAGTTTTTAAAAATCAATATATTTTGTACTAATATTTATTAATATATAAATGATACTAATAACTTTATCATTTATTGACATTTATTCAAAAAGAGAGTTTAATTAATAATTAAAATATTTATTAATATGCCAAGCACTTTGGGTATGGCAAAGTGGGGGACTTGTAGCCATTACAAACAAACTAATGACCATGGCTCAAACCTCTTTTTCCCCTATTTACTCATTTTAAGAGACAAATTTAGTGACATGTCAAATTCAAATTTGAATTTCAATATTGCCTTATATTTAATTTACTGTTAATGGTGTGTTATTAAATATGATATTCAATTAACAATGATATAAATTAAATTTGATATTTAAATGTTGCCGAAATTAAATAAGAGAGGGGAGTACATTAAATTCAAATTGTATCGACCGTACATGCAGCATGTTAGGCTACATCCAGCTTTCTTTCGGCCAATGTTACTGGCCCTAAACAAGGCGATACATACCCAACACTTGCCATTACAAGTTCGGCTTCAGTCAGGGCAAAGTCTATTAGAGCAGCCTTTATTGTCTTGTATTGAGAATATCTCCATGTTGATGTGCTTTTTTTATGGGGAGATATTCCCAATGCAAGGTTGCAAAACGCAGTTGGAACGGTGTGGGCACGGGTTTACCCTGATGGAAGCCAATCTCGCTTCCTAGTGCAATGCACGGTTGTAACTACTTTTGTATAAACTAGAAAATGTAAGTTGAAGCCAACAAGAATAAGGGTGATCTGATAATCTTCAAAGCAAATCAAGAAATGCCTCTAAACTAAGGAAAGGTAGGTTGGAGATCAAGAAAATGGCTAAGTTTAGTGGAGGATTGAGATATGGGTGCAAAGAATTGGTTAAGGATCAATGTCCACCAATGCCCTACTTGTTTGCCTATTTATAGAAGAGAGAAAGTAGGCTATGTGCAAGGATACATAAGAATTAGGATGTTCTCAACCTTAACCAATGGATGAACAAATACCATCTTTATCTCCCTAAAAACACATGTCTATAAGGACTGCAAGGTTAAGGGGCCCATGGATTTGACATTGGTGGTAGGAATTTGGATGTTGAGATGTGACTTTGAGCAATGTTAGGTGTAGGACATTCTCTATCAAGTTTATTGACATTGTTGGCTCCTTTATTTTTCCTATGAATTCTGTTCTCCAATCTGACTCCCCTATTTATTGTGTTGCATTCTCTATCAAGTCTGTTAGCTCTTCTTCCACTGTGGGCACATCTTTTATTGGATTACTACTACCACTTCATATATCCCTTAAAGGTTGTGCAAGATCCTAATGTGGCTAGTGAGTCTAAAAACCTGCTTTGGGCCCTGTTTGAAGGTAACCTTGAATCTCTTAATACAGTTTTGGATAAGTGTTATGGAAGAAAAAGTAACTCCTTAACTATCATTTTTTCCTACATTTTTTGCATTGTTAGTCGAGAATCTCCCTAGGCCACTAAGTTTTTTCACTCTCATTTTTCTTGGAGATAAGACTATTCTTACTCCATCTAATGATTGTAGGACTATTCTTACTCCACCTCCATCTTTCATTGTAAATGATCCATTAAAATATAGTTTCCATTGTTGCAATCACTAGGACCTTGCTTAGGATTTCTTCTGTGGTGTCATGTCATGCTCATATGGGAAGAATGCTAAGAGGTCTACTACAGTTTAACATTTTACTACATTTGGGTGGACACAAGTGATTGAATACACACTCACTCAATTGCATTAACCATCTTGCTCGGTCTTCTACAAAATGGTGGTTTGTGAACAAAATACTTCAATACGTAACTCCACTTCCAATAGTTCCTTGTGTCCTAAGTGATAGTGTCTAAACCTTTTTATTGAGGCATTGTTTTTGGGCAAATTTCTTAAACTACCTCTATTGTTTAGCTAATTGACAAATCGTACCCTTACTGTTTAACTATTGTCTTAAACTACCCCAACTGTTTCTGACAATTGTCATCATCGATCATTAAACATTGACGGGCAAAAGTAAAAAGTCATATTTACCCTTCACCATTTCTCATATTTTCAAAATAAAGCAAGATATCAAATTTACCCTAAGACTGGTAATCGAGCAACCATCACAAACACCTCAAGCCACTGAGGATTAGATCAAGTAAGGAGAACTCTCCATTTTCTTCTCAAATCAGAACTTTGCATTTTTTTATCATAAACTATAAGAGATGGAATCTACCCAGGACCAAAATGGTCACGGTACCCACACACAAGCCTTCCCAAATATGCTCCCAGCTTGGCTCGTGGGATGGCGACAAGGGCACGTGTGGCCATGTATAAGGTTTGTTGGAGAACAAGTTGTTTCAATTCGGACATACTTGTTGGAATGGATCGGGCCATCGTTGACGGTGTGGATGTGCTATCACTCTCTCTCCCGCTTTTTGTCCATCGCTGCCATCACCACTGCAACTTCATGTGGCAGTGGCAAGGTCTCTCTCTACTCTGTCTCTCTCCCCCTTTCGCTCTTTCTGTCCACGACCGCCATCACTGCTACAACTTCAAGCGGCAATGGCAGTGGTCTTTATCTGCTCTCTGTCTCTCTCCCACTTTCTGTCTGTTGCCACCATTGTCATTGTAACTTCAAGAAGCAACCCAATCTATCTCTACTTCTTATCTCACCCCTTTCATTCGCTACAGTTGCATCTTCATGGACAATCAACCATGCCATTGACGAAGGACGAAGAGAGGTTCCCACCAATCAATCGGTCATGCCAAAACTGAGACACAAGAAACCAAATCATTCTCCTCATATTTCGAAACCCTAATCCTCCTCTCTTACTCCTCTGCAAGTCCATTGTTTTCTTTCTTATTCCTCTTCAATACTAGAAACCAAGAAAAAGACACCCCAACAAGATGATCTCTTTCTCTCTCACACACAAGTTCAATCAATTGTTGGTCGAAGTAGATAGCCAGTCAATCAACCTTCTCTCTCACTTGATCTAGCATTTTTAAGGGTCGTAGGGATTTCAAGTCTGATGTAATCTCCGATCCATCAGGTATGTGGGATCTATACTAAAACCCCACCAATATCTCTTCCATAAAGATGAATAGGGTAATATTGAGTTTTAAAAAAAATTATCGGTCACGTGATGTCGCATGTTATGGATTTTGACGAAGATGCTAGGGGTAGAGCTAGTCAATTGTTAGAAATAATAAGGGTCGTTTAAGACAATAGTTAAATAGTAAGGATGTGGTTTTCAATTAGTTAAACGGTAAGGGTAGTTTAAGAAACTTGCCCTTGTTTTTTTTATGGGCAATTTTGTGTGTGTAATGATCTTACTTGTATAATAGATTGGTCTCTCGATTCTCTCCTACCCTTATTCATTCTCTTGTGCTAACAAACACCCTACAACTTTTGGGCTCATTTCTATGTATAATTTAAACTCGTTGCCTTGTAGGGGTGTCAACGGTATTCAAAAATCTGATTTCAAATTCGAGATTCGACATAATCGAATCAAATTCAGATAATTTGATTTGATTTGTCTGATTATTAAATTATTATATGTAATATATAAAATATTTAAATGTTTTATATAATTTATATGTATAATTATTAAATTATATAAATATTTTATATATTTAGATAATTTATATAAATAAAATATATATTTATATATTTATTAATTACCTAAAATAATTAATTGCTTGAATTCGAATTCGAATATCAGATTTTCTAATTGAATTTGAATTCGAATATTGCTTGGTTCAATTTGAATTTGATCCGTTTACACCCCAATTGCCTTGTATGGGTGGCGCAATTGTTGGTTGTTAGAACACATTGTCATGCTCTGTACTCCACCATAATGCTGTGTTTTTCAAGGTCAAGTATGAATCTCCGTGGACATGAGGCCTTGCTTATAAATGTTTTCAATTGCTTTTGATCTATTGGTTAAGCATCTCCAAAATTGTTTTGGTTTTTGTTTCATTTAGGTGGATTCCCTTGATGTGTACCCTGTAGCCTGAGAAATTTATAAACATAACCCTAAATGAAACCTTGTATACTTTGTTGGATAACGCAGGAGAAGACAAATGAAACAAATGGGTAGG